TATAATAATAAATTTAAAAAAGGGATTAATTTTCCAAAAAAAATGTGTAACAGATGTATTATATCTGATATAGTATGTTTCGCTTAGGTTCGAGACCCCACGCGGCGTAAGTGTAATTAAAACGAGTCAAAAATATTTGAATTGCATAGATGGCGCTGTAGGTCTATCGATTTTCTTCACACATATATACAAAGGAGGGCCACGTTTCTAAAAACGTATGTATACACACATACATATATATATATATATATATATATATATATATATATATATATATTAATCATTATACTTGTATTTAAACTAATTGAAATAAATTTAAGAGAAAAAATGAAAAATACGAACAGTATGAATCAACGGCAACACTGATCGTTTGATTATCGGCCAATGAGATCAATTCTTTTCCCTGTGTATCTTGGGAAACTAAGAGAAGATTTTGTCCATTTTGCCAATCGGCAATATCCTCCGGAATCTCAGCGGTGGTCGTCGTTCCGTTCAAAACGTTCGAACCAATGCACGAAGACGACCCGGTTTCTTTTTTCTCGGCAATACGTACGACACTCATTTTCGTGCTCGTTATTCTTTCACGCGTGGGAAAAAGAAAGACAAAAATCTGCACCACCACCACCACCACTACCACCAACCAAGCTCTGCTTGCTTCTCTTGACGAACGAACGTTACGTTAAAAATTTAATGAAATAAAGGATTTAAAAAAAAAACAAAACAAAAAAACAAAAGAAAATAAAAATAGAAGAAAAACGCCGTTTTCTCGGCGTAGTAATACCGAGAAAAAATAATTCAAACAAAAAAAATCAATTTTTTTTCCTCTTCCTTTATTATTGGTGTAATTTTCCGCGCGTATATATAAAAAAAAAACTAACGCACAAAAAGAGAGAGAGAGAAAGACACACACACGAACGAAAAAATACTAAAGTTATTTAGTAAAACATTAGAAGTTCACGGTTTCCTTTTTTTTTCTTTCTTTCTCTTGTATATATATGTATATATATATATATATATATAGATATATATCGGGTGAACACGACGCGACGATGATGATCACAAAGTAAACTCGTTGCTTCTGTATTGCTGAGAGCGTTCGACGAACGGAGGCCTGTGACTTTACCCCGTCTAGGTAGGTTATCCCCTCCCCTCCACCCCCCGAAGCGAACAAGAACGTACGAACAGTCGATTGGTCGATATAGCAAAGGGGAACCAAGAGAGGGGAGGGGAGACGAATGGATACAACATGGCGGACGAAACGCACTGCTCGAAAGAGCACCCGGTGGTAAAATGAGGGGGAAGGGAGGGACAAAGGGGACATGCAGTGACGTATATATATCGTTAAGTACCCCCTACCGAAATTTTTCGTGGTCAATATTAATTAATTATATATATATATATATTTTTTTTTTTTTTCAAAAACAATAGAAGAAAAAGGAAATGTTTCTTTTTTCCTTTTTTTTCAAATGCAAATATTAAATAATGTAATAACAAAATGAAATGTATTAATTATAGGACAATTATTTGTTTTTTGTTTCTCTCTCACCTTCATTATAATTTTCTACATATACTACTTCGGTATAAGGCTGATTACTCTCGTTATTCGGTATCATATTCGTTATATTACTCGGTTAAATCACACATCCTTTGGTCACACGGTGTTTTCTAATTTACGATTATCATTATTATAAATGTGTTTCTCTTTTGGAACTTACATTAGAACTAACTTAGTTGTTATTCTCGAAAAATATTCTTGTTGAGTAAGAGAATATTATATATATATATGTGTGTGTGTGTGTGTCGTATTAATATTACCTCTTTCCCCAATTATGTTGACTTATACTATTTATATAAACTTTAATGTGACCTTTAAGAGTAGAAAGTGAAAACAATCTTACAGATTCTTTCATCTTCCGTGATTAGTATTCAATATTTTCTCGTCTTAGAAGATTTATTTGATCAGTATTAGAAATTAATTGTAAATGCATTTGTCGAGTATTTATAACGAATCGTAATATTTTATAGGTTAGAATTTACTCGAAAAATAACGACGTGTTATTAATAATAATCATGACTACAGAATTAATATAATAATCAAATATATATATTAAAATTAAAATAATATTCACAAGTAATAAATTAACTACACTTGAAAAATATTTAAAACGAATAAAATAATATATTTAAAAAAAAAAAAAATTGTTAACATAAAAATATAAAAAAAAAAAAAGAAAAGAAGGATAACAATCTAAAAATAATGTTTAATCAAAGATATAAAAATAAGTGATAAATTTGGGATGGGTAAAAAAAAAAAACAAGAAGAAGAAACGGGCCCCTAAAAGTAATTCATACGGCCCTGATTAAAGCCAGGATATTACCAGAGAACGAACGCACACACAAAGAAAGGTAAGCGCGCACGTTCCGTGTTACGCTCGAGGCAGCAGGCAGATGGGAATGCTGTGTGTGGTGGTGGTAGTAACCAGTGGAATATTCCATCGGTGCTTTTGACGAGAAAGGCAATGGGGCGATGCGGGGTGGGGCGGGGTAAAGGGTGAAGAGAGGTTGTGGTTCGAGAGAGGAAAAGAGAAGAAAGAAAGGAAGAAAGAAAGAAAGAAAGAAAGAAAAAGAAGGAAGAACTGCGTATGCTAGGAACGAATGAGATAGAAAGAGAAAGAGAGAATCGAATATAAGGAACAAGAGGGTTAGAAAGAAGGAAGCAAGATGAGAATAAAAAGAATAAAATGTGCATGAGCCACTCGATGAGAAAACCCGTTACATTGGCCTTTTCTCTCTCAATGAAAAGAAAAAGAAGACAAATTTGAATGTCAGATTTAAAACGTGCAACTATTAGATTTGTAGTCCGATTAATATAATTTATATTATTAGAGTAATATCGATTATTAACAGATGTTGAATATATATATATATGTAGAATAAAAATTTACAAATGAAATAATTTGTTTTATTATTCATAAACCAATATGGAAGTTGAAAAAAAAGATGCCACATGGAAATAGGCTTAAAGTAGTAACGTTCAATAAAATGTGTTTCATCTTTCTAACCGCTAATTTAAAATCGTTTTGTTATATGACGTAGCATTGAAAAAAAGTATCGTTGTTATGAGAGATGATATAAGAATTAATAATAAACTCGTGTTAATTGATGATAAATATATATATACTTATGAATTAAATTAGCAGAGCAAATTTTTGTTCGTAGTGTACCATGATATATATATATATATATATATATATATATATATATANATATATATATATATATATATATATATATATATATATACCTAATACCAACCACCACGAAATCGAATCATATATATATATATACATATATATGAAATAAAACTTGAGATATAAATAAATAAATGCTTACCCACAGTAGAGAGTTGTTGTATTTCATTCATTTTAAGTATGACGCTGGTACCCGCCATTTGTTGTTGATGAGTTTGCTGTTGTTGTTGCTGCTGTTGTTGTTGTTGTTGTTGCTGCTGCTGCGGTTGTTGCTGCTGCGGTTGTTGTTGCTGCTGCGGTTGTTGCTGCGCTTGCATGATGGCCAGCATGAAGACGCGAAGTTTATAAGTAGAGAGAGAGAAAAAAAGAGAGAGAGAGAGAGAGAGAATGGGGAAACAGATGACGATCTCGATCGTGATATATATTGATCTAAAATAAATGATATTTTTTCTTTTTGTTTTTTTTTTGTTTTTTGGTAATATAATTATTACGATAATATCAAATATCGATTAATCGAAAATTTAATTCTTCCCGCGTTTAAATTGATCAATTTAATGAAAATCCGTTTGAATTATCGCGAAATAATTGAGCACGAATTGAAGTGAATTTTGATCAACGTGTATGCTGGTATGATGAGCTTTCCGAGCTATCCGCCATGATGGATCTCGTGTCTCTCACCAACAGCAATGGGGGATTCGGTTCCGTGATCGAGCCTACGAATATGGTAGAAAGAGAAGAAAGGACAGGACAAAGAGAGAAAAAGAGAAAGAGAAAGAGGAAGAGGGGAAATATAGTTCGAAAGTTAGGAAAAAATTCGAACTAACACACACTTTTGTCTAAACGCGCAAAACCCCCCCAATGCTATACGAATACGTCTTAAAACATTTTGTTTTCCCGTTTTAAAATCGAATTTTAACTTCTACTTGTGTAGTACGTTCTAACAACGTTCGATGCGTTCCATTTATCTGATTTCTCACTTGCGCAGTAAAGAACACAATATTACAGACAGAATGGAAAGCCAATCGATGCAACCACGGTCCTCTAACTTCAAGAATCCTACTAGAGTGGTTTCTACGCGGGAAATTTGAATTGCCGATTGAACGTTCTTAACAAAATCCTTTCTTTCTTTGATTTTTTTTTTTTATCAAACTTTCTGTTGTGTTTGTTTATTTATTTTATTATTTATATGAATTAAATTATCTAGCAGATTTAATGTATATAATTGTTCAAATATATTAAACCAAATTATATATTTTTTAATCATATTTAATTTGATCATTTTAAAATTATTTCATTTTAAAGTCAATTCAAAGTTAATCATATTAACAAAATTATTTTGAAATAATTTCTTCGTTCTCTCATTGAAGCAGAAATTCATTTATAAAAAGTTTATTTTTTATTTTTAAATTTTAACTTCGAAACTATTTCTAATGTGGTAACTATTTTATCGTTATGATATATATATATATATATTAAATATAAATTTATTTTATTTATAATTATCTAATAATTATTAATTAATTAATTAATTAATTATATATCTAAATAACAATAGAAAAATAAATAAATAAATAAATAAATAATAATAATAATAATAAAGAAACATATATAATACAATTCGTTCAATGTTCGTGCGCAAGCGTCGTCCATCTTGCATAAAGTGAATTCCGATTCCACGCGCTCTAGCGTGAAAAAAATGAATTAAACTCAATATCATTTCCCACTCCATTGTCGCAATGCGGATTACGTGTTCTTTACCTATCTTGTGAAGCCTTCTACCATCGAAAATCTATGGTCGTGTGTTCAGTTTTGACCTTCCTTCATTTCCTTTGCGAGTACATAATGGCCAACACGAAGGAACGCACCTTTATCATGATTAAACCCGATGGAGTCCAACGTGGACTCGTTGGGAAAATCATTCAACGTTTTGAAGAAAAGGGCTTCAAGTTAGTTGCCCTTAATATGGTTTGGGTAAGTTTAATTGCATTTGTGTAGCCCTTTAATTGCAATTCAAAGCGCAGACTCCGTTTCAATGTCTTCCACGTGGACAACCGGCTATTTTACAATACAAATTTTGTTTCCTGTTATTTTTTTTTATAATTATTAATATTATCTTAATAAAACTAAAGTAATAATAAATAATAGAAATATATATATATATATATTTTTTATTTTGAGGTTATAAAAAATTCAATTACAAAAAGGTTATCTTCTACCCTTGTCAATGTCATTGCACATGCATGAAGTAACAATACGTGTCAATACTTGCCAACTTTTTTTTTTTTTT